TCTACTTAAAAGACAATGTGTTTGGCTTTGTTTTAAGTCTGTTTTAAAGATTCAATAAAACATGTACGAAAGCTGTTTAGGGGAAGAGAAGTTACTTTATTTCTTCCGCTTTGCCATGATAGGTACTTTTAATGAAGAACTACCAAAAAGTCTAATTATATTAAGCTCGATCTGCCGAGGAAGGGAATGCTTGATGGAGAGTTTACATCAACAATAAAATAAAGAAGGGCTTAAGGTTAGAAGGTTATGACTTTCACGGTAACGGACTCATGTAGATAGATACCCTTCATACAGAAACGTCTTTTTAAAATCAGTTTCCACATGAAAGATATATGAAACCTAAAGAGACACACGAAAAAAAGGTTGGTATCGCAACCGAAAAATTGTGCTTCGATAGGTCCGCCAGCGCTTAGTTCAGTTCGGCTTAAATTTCTGTCGTTCTATCGAATCCACTCACTCGTGAAAGAGCTGCTGGAAAGCGAACCAATTTGAACGGGCCATTTTTGTGTATCAAACAGCCAAGTGTATGACCATAAAAAAATTCATTCATTCTAGGAGAGGCTCTGCACATGGCCTCGTTTAAAAATAGAGGCCTCCGACATTTCGGAATTCGAAGTGTCCTGTTAAGTTAGGTGGATGGTAGCCGAACTTGTTCTCTGGTATCTCTTGCAGAACCAAAAATTCGTCACAAAAGGTACGTAAAAATCACAGAAAGGAGTTCGAACGCCAGTAGCACCATCGATCGTGAAGCGATCAGAAAGGAAGTACGACTTGTTATCAGCAACCAAGCCTGCAGTATCCACTGCCCCAAGAGCATCAGGGGAAGACGTGGCAGACCTGGTCAAAGAGGCCCACCCGGCCATCCAGGTAAGCATGGACCACCCGGGCCACAGGGATTAGTGGGAACGAAAGGAAAACAGGGCCTCCAGGGAATTCAGGGACCTCCCGGACCTATGGGCCCTCCTGGAGCCAGGGGTGCGCCTGGTAAATCTATTTCAGTCCCCTCTATTGTGACACCTCCCAAGTCCACAGTTGTAAACGAAACTGGTACAGCCTCGTTTGAATGTGAGGTTGAAGGAAACCCACAGCCAAAAGTCACATGGCTGAAGGATAACTCCAGTCTTCCCGCGAACAAACGAATTATTCCGTCAGATGCAGGACTGCTGATTAATGACGTAAGGTTAGAAGATGGTGGAATGTACACCTGCGTCGCAAGAAATATTCTTGGAAAGATGAAGTCATTGGCTGAGCTGTCTGTTCAAGGTGAGAAATAATCATCGTAATTACATCAAGGAGCCATAGACCTCTCTACCTTCATTACTCGATCATGAACATAAAACGGAAAAGTTAACCCTTTATTCTCTCGAATGACATTACCCCTCAAGAACAAAAACTTTTATTTATCCCCAAGGACAAAGTCGTTTATTCGATTCTTCAAATGAAGGCATATTCCTCAAGTTCATATACCAATTCTAGAAATCTAGTCTAAAGTTCTCTTAATGGTGAAATGTCACAGTGTAGGAATTTTGAGACAAGTAACTGTATATTACTCGAAAGCGCAGGAGTTTTTAAAGAATAGAGGACTTGAAATAATGCTACTTTACTTTAATTTCTCTAAGTCAGGGCCGGGATCTGTTCCCCTTTCTAGGCTGCACCTGATCGGGTTATCTTATCTTACTTTTTTCTTTACACTGCGTAAACTAGTTGGAGCGTTGATCATCCAAAAACCCTCATCTGTTATTGTTGAAGAAGGACACAAAGTGAGTCTGGTCTGCTCAGCCACTGGTCAGCCAACGCCAACGGTCACGTGGCGAAAAGCAGTCGGTCACATGTCAAAGGAAAGATCAAGAGTTCTTGATGGCAGACTGGAAATTACCAATGTGACTAAAACAGACGGTGGAGACTACATATGTTTGGCAAAGAACTTACTAAGAGAGGACTTTGCCTTTTCCCAAGTTATGGTGCTGGAGCAACTCATGTTCACTTTACCTCCTCCGAGTAAAATTTTAAGAAAGGCGTATAACGATTTGAAAATGAATTGCTATGCAGATGGAGCCAGAGTAATCCTTTGGCAGAGGGCAGGCCTAGGTCTTCCTCCAGGTCATATCCTTTATCCAAATGGATCTTTGCTTCTTAAAAATGTTTCCCCTGATGATGCTGGATCCTACTCTTGCATCGCCCGAAATTTCCGTCGATCCATATCAGCAAACACTGTGCTTGAAGTTAGAAAATCAACCTTATTACGCTCTTGTAGTGAAATTAAAAAACACATTAGGGGAAAATCTTCAGGTAATTTTATGATAGACCCTGATGGCAAAGGAGGCGTAACACCTTTCAGTGTGTATTGTGACATGAATGACAAGAGCGGAGTTGGCGTGACCACCATCAGTCACGACAGTGAAAACAGAATCTATGTCAGTGGATGTGAAAGCAGGGGAAGTTGCAGAAGAGATGTGCACTATACTGGAGTCAACACCGCTCAGCTCGCTGAATTAACTCGCGTCTCACGGAATTGTGAACAGTTTATCAAGTTTGAGTGCAATAATGATGTTGCATTCATAGACATGGGTTATGCCTGGTGGGTGTCACGTGATGGAACGCGGATGAACTATTGGGGCGGAGCTACAGGCCGTGATAAGATGTGTGCGTGCGGAGTGACGAACTCTTGTTCCAATGGGAAAAAATGTAATTGTCATGAACACAACGGTGGCTATGGCTGGAGAGAGGATAGTGGTCTGTTGACAGACAAGTCTGTACTTCCAGTGACACAAATAAGACTTGGAGACTTGGGAGACCAACAGGAGGAAGGATATCATACATTGGGGAAACTCAAATGTTTTGGTGTGGCTTAGGTTGTACAGCATTGAAGTTACTTGGCTGCTAAACAGAGTACCGTTAAAGCAATTTTTTAACGGTTTTTGTTTTGTTTAAAAGATACCTTACCGAATCTGTAGGAAAAAAAAAATCAAGAATTATATAGAAATTTTATTTCAAGATCATTCGTGTGGTCTGTAGAACCATCATTCCAGACGCTAACATGACGTCTCTATAGAAACCTTGATTTTTACTTCAAATTTTAACAAAGATTCAAAGTAGCATCTGACTCGGAGCATTTTAAAAGCTCGTATATAACTATAAAATCACGACCCTTTTCGTTAAGACTTCATCTTCTCGCCTGAAGTAACGAGGGAGATTTGACTGTGGTTTTAAAGACTGGTGGCAGCGGTCAGTTGGTTTTACTCTTTAGCGTTCTTGCGAGGTCTTCACGTGTTACTTGCCATGATCGAGAAATGTCCTTACTATTGCGAACAAGGTAAAACCTCGACGTTCAGAAGTTTGTTTTGCCCCGTTTTTTTCTTTTTTTTTTTTCTTTTCTTTTTTTTTTCTAATCCATTGTAAAACTTTCGGGCTCGTCACGCTTTCATTGCTATAGAAGGGTAAGGAAGGAAGGTTAAACAGAGAAAATTGTTATCCATAGTCGTGGTTCAAATAATTAAGAGGAAAAAGTTTGATTTGACCGAGTATTATGGTCAGTATGGAACATTTCGTTACCAAAGGTTACTCGAGGCTTGTCAATCGATTTTTCGTTGTCGTATTCTAGCCATCTATATTGGCTGTTACCTTACCTCAGTTCGTAATTATTTGAGATTTCCGAAGGAAATGCCCGAGGTATAACTTCGGCTTGGCTTTTCTTTTTCTTTTTTTTTTTTTGCGTTCAGTTACAAAACGCAGTTCCACTACAGCGCATGCGTGAAGTGTAAGCGCATGTGTAGAATGAACCCTAGAGCGAATGGTTTAAAGCAATACATGCCTTTGTAGACAATTCCTTGCTTGATGCACACGAAAGAAATTCGATGGCTATTACGCTCAATATAGATACAAAATCACACACCGCGGTAGACCCACACTAAAACTTGTGGAGCGTTTTGGGAACGCGTCGGTCGCCAACTTTACGAGAGATCAATTTACGAGCGATCCTTTACGAGTCAACCTTCTATCAAGAAATACTTAGTTCTTATTAACGGAGCGGGAGGTCTGTATGGGAGAATCTTGACCGAGGTCGCCAGTACACACCGAACGCAGCGAGGTCTGTACCAGCGACCGGGGTCAAGATTCTCCCATACAGACCGACCTAGCTCGGAGTGCTCAGTTAATAAGATGTTTATCATATATACCCGTCTTGTATGACAATTTGATATATTCCTTGTAACTTTTTTTCTAGATCGGTTTAGATGGGAAAATCTAGACTGCTGTCAATATTGATTTCAGCCAATCAAATTCGTGAATTCGGTAGTTCCCAGTCCTTGTGAGACACAGCCATATAATAACAAGCTATATCAAACGAGCTATCTCATATTATAACATAACCAAAGTAAAGCGCGCGCTCTGATTGGTCAATTTAACGTCCCCCATTTGCCCATGGGTGTACCGGCCGCTGACGTGAGCAAATGCAAAGACTATTTTTCCGCGCGCGCTTGTTTGTTCTGGTCACGTAAGATTTGTTAAATAAAAGGGAACTATTTAGCTACAATGTATCAATTTTATGTTATAAAACAAATGGTAAACACCACAGCGTACACTATTGAGTTATGGATGCACTTGGGAGGTTTGCTAAGCACTTAAGAAACTAGAGTCGCTCTCGGCTATCGCCTCGAGCGGAGCGACTCTTACGCTTCTCTCGTCCTTAGCAACCTCCCGCGTGCATCTATAACTCAATAATGTATGCTGTATTGTTTACCATTTGTTAATTTATGCTTGCATGTAAACATAACCGTACATTTAGACGTGATCGAGAACCCATTAGAATACGTACCAGAAGTGAAACGTCTTGAGCATAGGCAGAAAACCGGGAATTTGTTTATGAGTGTATTCGTTCAAGCATACCGAAGTCCTCTTGGCTACGTCGTTATGTGATGGTTAGAGGAGTTACAAAGAATGTTTGTAAGCTTAATAAGAAGAGGGTAAGATTAAATAAAGTTAAACATCATAAGAAGTATTTGTTGAATTGTTCTGCAAGGGTATATCAAAAGGTAAATTGAGGTAAAGAGCAAGTCGGTATTTACTTATGTTTTCTTAGAAAGCCCGAGTTCTCGCAGCTCTGGGTCTAGTTAGGTTATCAGCCTATTCTGATATGATCACGCGATTTCAAGTCACTGCCTGACCTAATAATCTTATGGCCACTTAAAGGTAAAGTAATGTTAACCTACCAGGAATAAAATGAAAAAGGTTTCGGTAATAAAACAAAAAGATGATTTGCTGAAAACTTCAATTAGCACGCTGCCGAACTACAAAATGGAGAGATCACAAATTTACCAAAGTTGAGCAGTCTTATTTCAAAGTTCAAAATCTTATTTCCTTCTGTGGGACGCTTTGTTAAAGCAAGATATCACAGACTGTCCCTGTTTGGTTAAAAAGTCTGGACGTAGTATGAAAAATAACGGGAAGATAGCTTCAGAAGCAATTTCGTGCAACTCACTGTGGATCTTTTCAGTTTCTTCTTCTCGAATGAATCTTTCCCAGTGCTAACCCCATTGAGATCAAAACAAGTTTGTTTTCTAAAAATTAATTCTTTACCCGACCTTTAGCCCTTTTTCTCTTTATCAACAACCTAAAAACTTGTTGAAATAAAAAGTGAGACCGTAATGAAGTAACATGCAGTTGAATCAAATCCAATAAAAGCTGAAGAAACCACATAGGGTAAGACTGAAGTTAGATGACCAAATGCTTTGCGGACATCTTCGGACAAGGTCTTCGGGTGTGATTTCAAACATGCAAGTTGAAACATTGTTCCTATAAAGAAGAATATACTCTCCGAGATCTCGCAACCTCGCAAATCTATAACAAACTAGCGTTTTCATCGTTATTTCTCTCAGTTGTTTGCTTCGCCGGACTGATTCATGTCGAGGTCGAGCTTCACGGTGATCGACAGCAAATGCTTAATGTCCTGAATCAACCAAAAGAGGACAGACCTGAAGCGCAAAACTCCGTAAACGACGAAAGACAAATGAGATGATTATGTTACTCCCTTAAACAAATAAAGGTGGGTTTAAGCACAAACTTAAGAAACTATAGACCGACCTATCTTAGTCATAAAATATAGCTTTAATTACATCTCAAGGAACAACACGATTAACTTTAATATTAAATGGTCTATCATCGCAAGAGCTCCCTACAACAATTATCATCGCAAGAGCCCCTACAACAATTCCAGCAAACGATGCGACCTTTGCTTAACTGAAAAGCTTATGATCATCAAACACAGCAACTGCAATCTCTTAAACAAACGTTCTGAACTCATATCCAAGTGCCGACATAAAAACAAATTTTATCTAAGGAACAATTGACGCTCTCCTGCTTCAATAGTGTAAATATCACGCCATAATTACCTATTGTTTTTACCACTTATTGTAAATATAATATATACTAGCAGATAGGATTGCTTCTTCATTAAATCTGACTGTGTGTTTCCTTCTAGTCACTTAATGTTGGCTTTAATTACAATTACTTAATGAGGATGCCGAGTGATGTTAACAAAAATGAAAAGTTGGAGACGGAATCTGGAATGTTCCCATTAGAAATTTGTTTAAATATTTACTGCGTCTCCTCGCTCGTTCTGGAAAAAGTATCTTTTAATCTTCGAGTACGTGGCTCTCGACCCATATATTCTTTTTCTTGCTATCTTGAGCTTCTTAATGATTAAGAATTTTCATACAATGCCAGAATTTCTCAAGAGAAAGAAGCTCTTCCGACTGTTGAAGCCCACGGTGTCACACACAGCTTGATGATAAGAAACATCGCCGAGGTTTTTGCATCTTTTTGTAGCTGCACATCGGTAGTTTGGAAAATCAGGAATGTCGGAATTCGGAACCGGAACCGGAGCCGGAATATTTGGAATACCCGGAGTTCCAGGAATTCCCGGAATTCCTGGAATGACCGAAAAATAACAAATTAAAAAAAAATAATAAAAGTAAATAAATAAATAAAGAAGAACATTAATCGATGATTAAAAATTAATGGTAAATTCACAACTTAATTAAATGATTTAATACGAAAATTTTCTCTGAGGGTCCCGAAAAAGGAAACACTTATCGACCTGTTCATGGAGATGCACGTATTAGAATTAAAAAAAGTCTGCGTCAGGCCAGTACTCCGGCATACATCATAAGCGACGAAATATTTCTACTTTCCCTTCCCCCTGGATGGGATGTTAGTCCATCACATGGTTACTCCCTGTTTTAAATTCGCCTCCACCCGCATTTACACACCTATACTGGATGTCTAGCCGGGACGCCATGACCATTAGGCCTGCACGCTTTTCCAGCCGGAGCCATTGCGGAAGATTAAACAAATGCAATATTTCGAACAAATTTAAAAAACCTCCGAACTATTTCAAATTAATACTCTACCTTAAATAATTATTAACGACACATTGGGAGCTATAAAAGCAGCTACCATTAAGACCAGCCGTCTACAGTTAAAATTGAGAGATCGTCAGTTACTCGACACCATTTTGCGTCTATTATAAATACCTTGAATATATACCTTTAAATAAATATATCTTGTACTGATGGATTCTTTTAAACAAGGTTTATATTCAAAGGTATGATGATGATGGCAAACAGCCGAAAACGTTTGGTTTTAACATTTTAATAGTTTTTCTTAATCTTTTTGGCTTTGTATATATAATATCTTTTATTAAGCGAACATTATGGACATTCAAAGGAATATATTCAAGGTATTTATAATAGACGCGAAAAGGTGTCGAGTAACTGACGATCTCTCAATTTTAACTGTAGACGGCTGGTCTTAATGGTAGCTGCTTTGATAGCTCCCAATGTGAGGTTAATAATTATTTAAGGTAGAGTATTAATTTGTAATAGTTCGGAGCTTTTTACAATTGAACTATTAAACTAATTAGAAATATTGCATTTGTTTAATCTTCTGTAATGAATCCGGCT